GAGTTATAAGTAAGGCAGCTCCCTCAATGCAACTGTGGGTTTTCCCATTTTGTTTTCTTTTACATCACTTAATCGTGAATTCTTTAGTCAGCTTCTGCTTATTGGAACAAAAGTAATAAAAGGTCACCTGGATGTGTCAAACTTGGGTTTTGTTTTCTGTTTGTTTGCGGAGGGTGGGGAGAAAAAGACAAGGGAAAAGAGAGAATATGAGGAATGGGGAAGGAAAGGAGGGGAAAATAAAGTCTTAAGGGTGAAATGTTAAAATAAGCACTGAGGTTTAGGTTAGTCAAACATAGTTATCTAAACTCCACTCTCAGTGCATTCTGTTGGGATTTGTTTTTTTGATTTTTTTACCTTTTAAGAGATCTAAAGATTTTGAAGCATGGATATCATGAGGTTAGTGTACTTTTTCATTTGACTCCTAAGGGCAGGTAAGTCCAAAGCAGTTTATTTTGGATATATCCTGAAGCTTTGTTTTGAATTAAGAAATATAGTTTATGGGGAAGGGAGGGAAAAAAGGAATATAATTTTAGAAATTGGTAAACCATTTGTTAATCAGCGTTTCTGGGCTATTGAAGGATTTAATTTTCTGCGTGTCCACTTGTTGCAGTCTAAATGCTTTAGTGAAATTCTTATAACAAAATGTAAAGATTTACTATGCAGGTGATAAATTTTAAGGGTGCCTCAAGCCAAAAAGGAAGTGAACTGTACCATATGTGAAGAATGTTAAAAGGTACTACTGTGCATTACTGATTTCAGTTATAACTTTGCGTCTGTGACAGCTTTCTCACCCATCAACTGCTTTTGTTTTCTTAGAATGTCAAAATTGTAGAGCCACCTTTTTTTTTTTTTTTAATTATCAACAAATCTTTAAATGAAAATACTGTTTTTAGAAATCTAGAGCCATTGGCCTCACTGAACATTTACCTTTTGAGGATCCCATGACTGGTAGTAGAATGTGGCCTGCTTTCTTCCCATCAGGACTACCAGTATTCATAAATTTATACCCTGTATTGTAATTTGTTCTTGTCAGATCATCTGATTTCTAGAGGATTCTAAAACAAGAGTTTTTGAAAAGGCTTATTTTATACCTATATATACCATATAAAGAAACAAATGTTTTTATTAAATGTTTCACTAACCAAAATAATTTAAAAATAATTAATTTTGCTTACCTTTCTGGAAAGATAATTATAGCAGCTGATCTGTAAATGACTTTAAAAGCTATTTTAGTAACTTAAGTAAATTTACTTGTTTGTAAAAAAAAAAAAAAGAATTCTAATTAAATTGGAAGAAATTATATGGTTTTGTTAATATAGAATTGAAAATAGGTGGTTCTAAAGTTGGTTATTTCTGAGGGAGTTAAGAAAAAAAAACTGAAAGGGACTAGGAAAATTGCAGAGGGTCTGCACAAGTTTAAAAAATTATGTGGCATGAAGAAGCAAAAAGAAACATATAGGTAAACGGAATGATAAATTTAATTAGATAAATGAATCTAAAGTAAGTGAATACAGAATTTGTTTAGTCCTTTCCAGGCAGTTAAGAAGGAAAAAAGTTTTCCTGTATTGGCCTAGGAAACAAAAGTTTTATAAATTATTGAAATGGTTATATATTATGTTATATTAATCAGGTACATGATTACTTTAAAAAGCCGTCTTCTATCTCTTCTAGGCCAGGAGGATGCTGCTCTTGACCCTCAGAGAGCAGCCTGGTGTCTGCAGCCCAGGGGTAGTTCTCTCATCTTCCAGTCTGTAGCTTCTGCAGCAGCTCCAGCCTCAGCTCCAGCCTCAGCCCCATCCTCAGCCCTAGCCTACCGAGGGTGTTTAACAGTGTTGGGAACCACAGCTTGGAAGATTGCACCCGTGCACAAGCACAGCCGTGCCAGAGGCATCTGGGAGCTCATGTGTAGACTCTTGGTGCCCCCAGACACCACAGAAAAGTGGGACCCTGATGGTGAGTTTCTCCCACCCATGATCCCCAATCGTTTCCTGCAGACATCCAGTGGGGGTCCTGCTTCTCCGAGGTGCTGCAGGCCATGTGCCAGGCCCCATGGAATGGTGGTGAGGCAGTCACCAGGGTAGAGTGCTGCCGCGGAGGGAGCGATGCCTGGGGCTCCCACTGCAAGCTCTGTCCCCTTCCTGGCACCTTCGCCCACAGGAAGCTGGCCCCCATGGCTCAGGCTACACCACTGAGGGCAAAGGTGAGTAAGAGTCTGTTCACAGTTGTGTATCCATGCTCCAGTGGGTGCTGGAGCGAGTGATCCTGTGTGTGTGTGTGTGTGTGTGTGTGTGTGTGTGTGTGTGTGNCAGGAAGCTGGCCCCCATGGCTCAGGCTACACCACTGAGGGCAAAGGTGAGTAAGAGTCTGTTCACAGTTGTGTATCCATGCTCCAGTGGGTGCTGGAGCGAGTGATCCTGTGTGTGTGTGTGTGTGTGTGTGTGTGTGTGTGTGTGTGCGCGCGCGCGCGCGCGCGCGCGCGCCAGTCTGTGCTGGCAGGTGTGTGTGAACCAGAACCCATTCGTGATTGTGTGTGTGTGCATGAATTTGGATGATGGGTAAGCAGGTGTGTGAGGCACTGTGTGTGTGTTCTCTTGTGTGTGGGTTTATTAATGAGCATGTGAATGCACATGGACTGGTGTGCATTCCCTGCATGTGCAAGTGTTTCAGTGAGCAGGCCAGGAGTGAGAGGCTTTTAATATTAGCTTACTTTGCCCTGATTTTCCCCTTTTGTTGTGTTTTTTTTTTTTTAACCTCTTGCTGGGAAAAAACAGTGGCTGTATATGTTATCCCATTGTTACTATTATTTTCTGTAAGCTTTGCAAGTGTAGGGCCCTGTGTCTGTCAGGTTAGCCACTGTGTCACCAGTCCTTGATCCTGCAGTACCCACAGATTTATAGTAGGTGTCAGTAGGAGCACAAGTCTGTGCAACACTTAATGGGAAGGGCTGAAATCTCCAGAGTTGCGGGGTTGGAAAACAGAAATAGCTTTCACTTTTAATGCAACAGCAAAACACCCCGGCAGCATATCAATTAGGCAAAACAAACGGCACTGCCGGAGCAAAGAAGAAAACACAGATAACCTCCTGTGTGATTGGATGTGGCACCCAGCCTTGGTTAGCCTGACATTGCGGTTGGCTGACTTACTCAGAGCCCTGTCTGGCTGCCAGAACCAGGAACACACTCACAGGAGCTCAGATAAAGAGGGGTTTATCATCACAGAGGGCTCTCAAAGAGTTCAGATGCAGAAAGTGCAGCAGGCCTACAGGAACCGGAAAGCTATCTGGCAACTTTTCTCTCTAGCCCAACTTTTCTCTCACTGTTTTGGGTCTGGCATCCTCTCTGAGTCTGGCTTCTGCTGCAAGACCCTTGGTCATAATTTCAGCCACCTCAGTCCACTTTTGAGTCACCTTAGGCTCTGGGGTCTGATGCTGACTGACTCCTGTATAGGACTCTTAGGTCATATCTTCAGTTCTCTCTGTCCAGACTGGCAGGAATCTTACTAAAGCCCCTCCACTGAGACTGGGGGTCTGGAGTCAGTGTGTAAAACTGGCTGCCTACCTTCCCTCTTTGCTTCCCATCTGAGAACCAGCTTCCAATTTCATGCCTTTGTCTATAACCCAAGCTGACCATTGGCCTTGTGGATGGAGGGCTAGACAGAAGTCAAGGGCAGAGTGTGCTCTGTGTTTTCCTCCTCTTTAGATATTGGCTAAAATCTCCCTTGGCCATGACTCCATGGCCCTTTACTTACCATATTCCAGTTCTGCCAGCCTCTAACCACCATCCACCTGGTTTTCTCCCCAGGTGAGCCTAGCCAGCCTTGATGTGGAGGCCCTACTGACATTGGGCTTGAACCTCTCATGCCTGGGCTGGGCTAAGCACATCCTGGAGCTGTGGCCAGCACTAGAGAGTCTGAGAGGCCAGTTCTGCTTTGCCATTGCCCATGGCAACGAGCAAAGTTTCTTCTACATGCCTCACCTCAGTGACCTTAGCTCCCTGTAGCTGGGGCGTTGGAGGCCAGGGCCTGGAACCTACCAGCTGGAGGTGGTGAGCATGGCAGGGCCCTGGGGCACCCAGCCAGAGGGGCAGCTGGGGCCAGGGGTTCAGGCCTAGAGACTGAAGGTTTGGCTGCAACTACTATAGCCTGGCCCCAGGCTCCTCCTGCAGCCCCTTCTCCAGACTCACCACCTGGGTACCACCTAGTCCCTGCCTCATTTCATGGGGTTTGGGGAAACTAATGAAACTCTGCTCATGACAAGCAGGGACCTTAATAGGCCCCAGGGCCTCCATGCAGTCCTCTCCAGAGGCAGGAGTTTCTAGAACTGGTAAGGATCCATCCTGTGGCAGTGGCTGACCAGGTGGAACCCTGAAACTCAGGAAGAGCAACATGCTACCCTACGACCTCAGATGAGATGAGCTTCTCCCCAATACTTGGTCTTTCTTGGAGACAGCTGGAAGCTATTGCTCCACTTCCAACACTAGGATCAAGCAGGGCCCTGTGATTCACTGTATCTCGCCAATCTCAGGCTAAACTTCTGCACTGCACCAGGACTCACCTCACCACCCCGGGCTTGGTGGGACATGGGAAGAGCATCAGAGGTGGGCATAAGGCACATCCCTCCAAGTGGACTTAGACCCTGAAGTTTGGCCCTTCCTCCTCCTATAGGACTTTGTCTTGTCTGGGGTCTGGTTCACCCAACTTATCAGGAGCTTCTGGACACCTGTCAGAGTTCACAGCAGCTTCATCCATTAGCCAGTCACTATAGCCCAGGAACCTGGGTAAAGCAAGCATGTGAACCCCACTTTATAAACCAGGAAGGAGGCAGCAAGAGAACAAGCGGTTTGCTCAAGGTCACCAGCTGAACATGCACTCAGGCCTGTAACTACCACGTCCAGTGCTTGGCCCCCCGGAGATGTATGCTATCCTGGAGTGAGAGGGGATCATGTGGGATTCAGCACAGGCTGAGACTGGCACCCCATAATGAAACGTGACAGAGACAGGAATGATGTCTCACTATAGGTTTAATAAAGCGCAGCCCAGGAGGTGTATATGTATGGATTAGGGCAGGGGTAGGGAAACTTTTTTCTGTCAAGGGCCATTTGGATATTTATAACATCATTCGCAGGCCATACAAAATCATCAACTTAAAAATTAGCTATGAACAAAGCTCCTAGATTTAAATTTCCAGTCCCATCTGCCGTTGCCTTGTCAGGGCCAGACCTAATGATTTTGTGGGCCATATACGGCCAGGGGGCTGGATATTCCCCACCCCTGGACTAGAGCTTTGCAAGGACTCACAGGGACACCACAGGCAAGTGTGCCCCAGAGTGAGTGACAAGAGACTGCAGATGGGTGATGTATCTGGCAAGGGCTGGCTCTGGCTCCCAAAGAAAACAATGGGATTGAAATGAGGTCAGCTACCCAAGGAACAGGAGGTGGCAGGGGTGAGGGAACCACTACCGATTTAGGTACAGGAGATTGACAGTTGGCTTGTAGATGAACTGGGGGGCTACAGCGCAACAGTGACAGTGGAGAAAGCTCCAGCCCCTATTGTGTTGATTGATATTGGAGATGTGCTCACAATCTTGCAGGAGGGATTGGAAAGGATGGCAGTTGACGGAGTGAAGTGGAGCCAAAGCTCCCTGGGTCGGATCTGTCATGGACACCTAGGACCCTTTCATGTGTCCTGTGGGGCTGTCCACAGCTCCAACCCTTCTTGGTCCTGCAGATGAGTTTGCTGAGCCCAGAGATGGTCACATGGTCAGAATCCTTGGATTAGCTCTTGTTGGGAGGGAGGCATTCTTCTCTCTGCTTCTGGTGGGATCTCTAAACCTGGACAGTGGAAGCCTGGAGGTTCCAGAGCTCAAATCCTTCCTCCCTTTGTGAGGGGCTGTCAGAAAGGTGGAAAGAGAAATAGATAAAAGATTTACCAATACCCTTTGAGCACCTTGATCCAGCCAAGCCTGAAGTCATTGGCTCGTCATTTGAGCTGATGAGTTTCCCATTTGCTTGACTTTTCCATCTCTGGCAAATGAAAATGTCTTGACTAAAAGAATTGCTCATTTACTCAGTCTCCCACTCCCCAGCAACTGGCTTTCTTTGGGGTGGGGGCAGCTGTCAGCATGCTGGGCTGCAATCCCCTCCTTTGGGGGTTGAGAAACTCAGGAGCCAGCAGCAGGGAGGGTAGGCCCCCTAGATGCTGGGCTAGGGTCTCATCCACCTTGGAAGGTTCTCCAGGTACCTTGGTGATGCTTTGGAAAGTCCTTGTTCCTATCCAGAAACTTCATCCCAATTTTTACCCACTTGGCCTTTGGGTTCCCGCACACCATCCTCTGTTTGTGAGGGAACTTGAATCTGTGCAAGTGAGAGTGAAGTGTAAGGTTAGTGTATAAGCAGGAAGCAAAGTTAAGTGTGAGCCCCCACCCACCCCAGCCCCCACTGTCCCACTCACATCACGGCAGGCAGGTTACAGCTCCCACTCAAATCCTGGTGCTGGTAACTACGGGCATGCCGGAGCACAGTCCACTTAAGGTGGGGGTGGTAAGCCAGGCAGCAGTCCTCAACAATGCCTGCAGTCAAACGGCCACCCCAGGCTCACTTTTCTATGGTGCATGTGTGGCTGCATGTGCACTGAGTGTGCAGGCACAGCTACCAGTGTGGGCACCTTCAAACATACCATGACTGTCCCAGGCCCCATGGAGGCTGAGGGACAGCCCAGGTGATAAGGAAGCCATTCAGCTCACCTTTGGGTTCAAGGCCCATGCTGGGAAGGGCCCAGGACCTCAAAATGAATGGGGGACCAAGGCCATTTCCAATCCTGCTCTGGGGCAGAAGGAAAGGAGGGTAGGTGGGGTAGGTGCAGTACCCTGAGGAGGGATCAAGGGCCACCACTCCCATCCGGGTCCCTCCTCCTAAAATGAGCAGGCTGGCCCACTGCTCCTGATGTCCTGGCTCCTGCTCCAGGCTGGCCTTTCCCCACATAGATCTATCTCAGGTACCTCCTCTCTGTCCCCATCAGAGACCACTCTGAGTCACCTGACCAGAGACTGGGTTCATTCACCTCTTGGTTGAACAAAAGCATTTAGACTTCCTACTCAGAGCCAGATGTCTGGACATACAGAGAGAAATTGGATGCAGTTTTGTCATTGGGAATGTCCTGGCCTAGTTGGGAGACCTGGAAGTTGGTCTATGCTGGGAGGGGGAAGCTCAGGGACCTGGAGGGGAGATGTTCAGAGGAGGAAGTACTGGTGCCAGAAGGTCTGGAAGCAAAAAATGAATTGATGCAAGAGGCAAAGGTACAGAGGCCTTTAGGAGATCTGTCCTGTTGGCCCCTGGAGGGACCATGACTGAGTCCTGGCAGAGTATAGCCAGAGGGAGAGGTAAGGGGGAGGGCTCGAGTGGCCCCAGAGGGCAAGGGGCAGTGGAGTCAAATGGACCCTGGGCCACAGTGTCAGACAAGTAGTTTCCTGGGGCTGGGTGCCATTCTGCGCCCAGGATCAAAGGGCCTGGGTTTGGTCTGACTGCTGGAATGGGCCTCTGATACCAGGACAATAGAAATGAAGCCCAGCCCCCTCTGGGGCAAAGGCTAAAATCTGCTGGGGGACAGGCAAGGGCCTCAAACATAGTAAGGGGTGGGTGGGGCAGGTGAGTGGGGCAAAGGGACCTGGACCCTGCCCTGTCAGCTGCTGGGGTTCACTTGCCTCCCCTGGGCCCACTGGGATTGAAGACACAGTGGTAGGGCTCCTCTCCTGGGGATAGTGCATGCCCAGAACTGGCTTTTAGTCAACAAAATCCTCAAGTGCCTAATCTAGTGAGAGAAGGGAAGAGAGTTCCCATTAATAACAGTAATAGTAATTATCGTGGTTGCCACAGGCACTGGGCCAAGTGTTTTGTAGGCATCAACCCATTGGGTCTTCATGGCCCCTCTCTCTGCAGTGGGAATTCGGAGCCCCACTTTGCAGATTAGGAAACTGAGGCCCATAAAGCCTGAGTAGTGAGCCTCAGCCTGACCACACAGTTAGCCCAGGTTGGGGGAAGCTGAGATGGGGATCCATTCCTGCTAGTCTCTGGGCTTTGCAGGATGAGGTCACTGCAGTGTGTTCCTGGTGGTAAGGGGTTAGGCCACTACTGGGAGCCACCCTCTGCTCCCCACCTTCCCCGGAGTCCCTGCATAGAAGACTTGGGTTATAGACTGTGGTGGAGGCACCACAGGGACCCTACAGGCCTGGGAGCTGCACAGATGCCAGGAGTTTCTGCATGCCTGGGGGTGGGGTAGCTGTCAGAGAACTGGACAGTGCATGTGGAGGAGGAAAATCTGGGGGGGGGAGAGCAGGTATGGCCCAAGACAGTACCTTGAGCTTGGACAGCAGGTGCCCAGGTGCCTATGAAGCAGGTCACTAGGCAGGCCAGGAGCCACAAGTTCATGGTTCAGGCTGGTCCTCCTCTTCCTGATCCTTGAGGGATAACGGGGGGG